AGCTGCGCCGGACGCTCCTCCGTTCGGAAACGAAGCCAACGTGTTAACTCTTCTCTCGTTGTTTTTTTTTCGTCTCCTTGTTTGCGCTTAATTACATTACAGACTGATGAGAAACGCCAGCCGGCCCGTGTGAGTGAACTCGCGCTGCTTGCATATACGACAGTTTGTTTGTACAGAGATATGCTTCCCACATTGACGAGACAGAAGGGGCATCTCTGTTCCGAGTTTCTACCTCTCTCACTTTCCTCTTCCCGACGATGATTTTTGAGTGAAGAACGAACCAGGATGGCGGACGGATGGCGATTCGTATGTTGATATCTAGAATGAACTGTGTCCTCCCGACGCGACGCCAACGGCGCACTCCTTTCTGTAATTCTCGCTCGCCAAGCTCCCGGGACGAGCCGGCGAGAAGAAATTCTGATTGGTCACGCATCGTCGTGTAGGAACTTGGTTCCGAAGTCGTCCGTCGAAATTCCGCATTCACATATCGAGTGAGTGTGTACTGTCAACGGCTTTGAATTCATCTCATATCTTTCAGAGCATCATGGTGATATAGTGAAGCCCAGACTCCCCGCCCCCGATGGTCACCCTCGAGCGCGATCCACACGTCTCGCAGGTTTGGACGCGTGATCGATTTGGCTGAATCCGCTCGCATGGGAGGACGAGCTCTCTAAGTCAGGGATGCTCGTTGGGCTCTCCAGGACATTCCAGGAGTGCCCGACGTCAAGGATTGCGATTCGCTTCGAACACCGAATCAGCAGCGCAGTGAGTAGGGTCACGGCTGCAGATCGCTGGGCGGAGCACTCCTTCCACGTCCTCTAGGGGCGGCATCGCAGAACCCCGACGAGAAAAGGAGAGGAAACACTTTGAAGAGAACTCCCGGTCGGAGCCGCGAAGGAGGTCGGCGGAAGGCCCAGGGGACGCAGTGCTCAAAAACGCACCGGATCAGAGAGCTAGGGAAAATGGAACGAGCCCATCTTCGCTGCATTGATTGCTCGAATACCGACTGCTTCGACACCAGACAAGCTGTTGTTGCTCAACCTGGTAGGCTGAGGCGCGATCGTGCGACCTCTCAGACAGACAGGAATCGTCATCCGATTCTGACAGTGGAGATGTGACAGCGTCGGGATGTGCACACGCGTGTCTTCGAATAGAAATTCGCCATTTATCCGAAGAACCAAGGCATGAACGCGCGGCACGTGTTATCGATATATATCTCGCCGCACATCGGCATCATGCTTTCTTGACGTGTCCCCTCTCATCGCCAATCAGCGCGCCGCCGAGGAAGCACGGCTACCCATCAGCCTTCTCCTTGTCCTTGTAAGCCTTCTGATTAATCCGAGGTTGTGGGGTCGCAATGCATCAATTAGATTCTTCATCGGAAGAGGATTCGTCCAAACTATATGAAATCAAGGCAGGAATGCTCTGCTGGAACCGGAATCGTGAAAGCTCATTCTGAAGCTCCAGCAAATCGGAAAGATATCGTTTCCGCAGCGAGGGGAAGTCGCGAGAAAAATTGTTCGCTTCTTCGATATGATAGCGTCGTTGCGACTGCGGCATCGTCGCTACGACCACCAGCAGATAGCCACACATAGGCAGTGGTATTCCCGAACATCAAATCTGAGTGGGCTCGATCCGGACACCCTGAAAATACAGCAGTTGAAGAACTTGTCTCGGCGGCTCTCTCTTGCCATTAATCTGCGGCGTGAAATCGATTCTTCGTGTTCTTTTTCTCTTCTCCTCCGTTTCCTCGGAGTGGCGAGAAAACGCAGAAGCTCTGACGTCGCTGCCTTCTTTGGCAGAACCGGCACCATCGGTGAGATATGTATGTACGGAGTTGCGGTGTCGACGGCAGCAGCAGCGATCGTTCACCAGGTACGACCACGACGACAGCGAAGACGACAACATGGTGGGATGTTTGCTGTTTTTCATCGAGGAGCATCTCTTGTACTTTCTGCTCACAGGGATTCTTCTCTTCCATCGACGACGACCCCGTGCCATCGTCGTCACCAAAACGTCACGACCGGAGCAGCGACTCCGAGAGTTTACTAATCGTCTTAGATAGTTCGATGTCGTCGTGTTTAAGAACAAGAAAAATTACTTCACGCAATGGGGGGTGTCGATAGCCACCGTCGCTGTCGAGCTCATGGTGCTGTTGTGAAGCATTCAAATAAAAATCGCGCATCCGTCCCCGCCTCCCCTCGGCAACTGAACGGCTGCAATAGCCGTGCACCGAAAATGACAGAACCGATTTGAGTAATAATTTTATAAGAACCGGAAAATGTCGCCGAACAGCGGTGTCACGCACACAGCGAGGGCGCTCTCCGTAGTGGAGCAAACGATCGAAACGCAGGTGAGAAAATGAAAAATAATCGGATGAAAAATATCTATGGTCTGTAGGTCTGACGGAAATGTCGCCGGCGCGTTCTTTCACCTTCTCCAGTTGGTCAATCCGGCTGCTGTCGAATCCTTACTACTGCGGGAGCCGTCCGATAGACGCACATCATCGGGGTTGTGCAAGAACCTTTGTTAGCAGGAATCCGGAGTCATGAATCAGCCACTAGGCTGTCGAACGATGCCAACCGGGAGGATATTCTGATCCGTCGACGTAGACCTAGTTACGTATACCCCGGGGTAATAGTATTCTGCCTTCAAGGTCCTATCGGAAGGAGATACTCAAGATGGTGGCCAAGAGCTTAACGGAGGCTGATCTCATCGAAGCAAATCCTCGGGCGTCTATCGCTTTGTCGCCCCGACCCGAAATTGGGCAGGAGCTTTGAGAAGACCCTGAGCCGAGCAAATCAGCCGCTTCCCGCCCGATCTCGTCAGGCCTCGTTTTTTTCTCGAGCATGACGAATTCGAGTACGGCGCATACTGCGACTTCCGTCCTGTTCCGACATGAGTTCTGCGTGGTCCCAATGCTTATCCGCCAAGATAAGCATAACGGCAGCTGACAGAACTCAAAAATACACTGATTGCCTATTCCGGATACGGGACGCATTCCGGTAGCGCCAACCCGCGACTCTCCGAACACCTATAATCACGACCAGAGGAGCGACCCCACGAGGGTATTCTTTATCGGCATGCTCATGCTCTTTCCGGTGACATGGCATGAGCCTCAAGGAGAGTCGCTGTGGGATGAACCCGGTCGGAAGGTAGGAGTTCTTTGTCATCACGTACGAGAGGAGCCGGAGCGACCTTCTGCTCCAAACTCGAGGCGCTCAACTTGCAATGGTCTGATTTTTGTACGGACGAGTGTCCGACGCGGGCTCGCAAAGAAGGCTCGGGATAATCCGTCCTGTGCGTCGTAAAACTCATGGTGGAGCCCGGAATCAGTGGTGATGGAGACTGACTTACAGCGATAAATCCAAGCTTCAAGGCAAGTAAAGTGTGCTCCTGCCTTATAATGCTGGCAGACGCTACGGTCCTTTCCGGCGTGGATCGTTCGATACACGATTCCCTTCGGAGATCCCAGTCGCTCCGATATGTGCGCGGTTCACGTTCCGCTTCATGCGGTCTCAGTGTTGCTCGTCCTGTTTGTACTCGGTGAGTCTCAATTTCAGTCTATCCTCACGAACAGACTCTACGAGGAGAGGTTTCCGTCGAGCCATCCAGCTCAAACGGTGATTGCTGAACTCAAGAGGATTAGCGCGGCGTGTACATGATGTCATCATTCATTAGGAGATTGCGCCGAGGACCTCACCAGCGAGTTCGATCCGACGCAAACGCATACTCCGAAGCATCTCGTGTTCTAGGCGGATTGGAACTTCGAACATGTCATCAGCGAAACCAAGTTGATCGTTCGGGAAACCCCTCTACACTGACTCATGCCAAAATTGCCAGACAAACTACCCGAGCTCAATTTCGGAGCCAAGCTCATTGTACGACCCATGGATCCGATTATAGAATATCCCAGCGAGACATTGTTCAGGAAAATATTATGCCTCTTAATAAGGGAAGCAGTTCTGATCGACGCTTCTGGTGTAAGGAGGGTCAGACATGTCGGCCCACTCTCCCTCTCGGCAGGATTCCAAGGTGGACAACGGAATGCGGAGGCCAGGCCTTCTGCTTATCAGGCTCCGATCCGAGGTGTCCGCCCGTGATTTCACAATCGCTCTCACGTTACAAACATATTGAGTCACTCCTGGTGGGCGATTTTTCACAAATAATTTCTGAATCGGGGAACTCAGAGGCATCGAATCACGAACTTCCCGAGCGCGGCGGGCATTGTCCATCAGAAACAGTCGTACCTGGTAAAACGTCGTAAACATGGACTCGTGTCTGTCCGTTTGAGGGTGGCTTGACCGGATTGACGAAGGGTTCCTGTGATCGTGAGGGGCAATGAAGTGGAGCGCGTGAAGCCGGAAAGAGCGTAGCTCACAACTCACAACTGAGGAGAATGCATCGTGGATCTGTGACGAGAGGCTGGGAATTCATCGACGAATCAAACATGACCTCGTGGTGTGGTCGGCGAGAGCCTTCCTTTATGGACCTTCGTGATCATCCTGTCCTTAGACATCCGTCCTCAGCTCCAAGATCCCTGTGGTCTAGGACTCAAGGTCATTGAAAAAACGTCAGTCTCGGTTCTCAGGATTTCGATCCAACTCCCTGAAGACACCGATGTCGTGCCTGATTCCCGAAAGTTTTGTACTAGAGAATCTTAAGCTCGTTCCTTCCGCGTAGCCACGGAGCACTCGATGGCAGCTCGTGATGGAGTGTCACGATTACTCAGCTTGTTCGTGGTGGAATCAGATCTACGAAACGTCACAAAGGAGAGAATCACTCCGAGAGAATAATCTGTGATGTTGTCGTGACGGTTGTAGTCGCCGGCCGCATGTTGACGGGAACGGATACTCGCCCTTCCCCGTGGAGAACAGAAAATCAACAGAGTGATCCCCGACGTCGACTGCAAGAGTTCTCCCCGTGACGTTATAATGTCGCAGTCTGTTCTGTTGGCCGGACCTTTCGATCGAAACAGAGAATCATAAATCATTATTAGCAATCTTTCATCATGTCGAAGCACCCGGAAAGCGTGTCGAACATCTAATAATTTATTTTTTACAAACTTCCCCCATCTGTCTCCAGGCTGTGAGCGAAACGGTCGCAGGTGAAACGAAGGAGAATTTGGTCCTGCCGTAAATAGACAGAAAATTCGTGTATATGAAGCTATTCACATTTGTACAAATCGTTGTCTTGACAGTCCTCGAGGTAGCTGTTGGCGATGAAGGACGCGTGGATGTCAGGGAAAGGGTGCGGATAGTGTGCGGTTTGAAGTCACAGCTGCGCTTGTCAAGCGGGGACGTCTTCTGAGCATCCATTTTCGTCTTCGTCGACTGTATATAGCTTGATCACAAATTGAAATTACAAATGCTTCTCAGGAAACCACCAACTGTCTCTGACAGACTCTTAGTCAACGGTAGTCGACGGTAGGCCAGCGGAACCATGCGAGAGCGAGATAAGCCCGATCGAGGCGGCTTTCGTAATCCTGGAACCTCAAAGTTCCATTTTCAGCCCGAACTGGGACGCCTTAGCGGTAGCTTTCAGCCTATTCAGTTTCTTGAAGTTTTCCAATTGTATCAATGAGTTGCTCAATCTGGAAAACGCATTGAACAGGGTGACGATCTCGGTTCGGGTGAGAGCGGTTATCTCGCCTTCTGATGAAAATAGAATTTTCAGAGCGGTCCCGAGTCCTTGCGTCTGCAGTTTGCCCCAGAGTCGGCACTTGTCGCAGCCTACGCAATCCATGATCGATGAAATATTACGGAAGTGTTGGCGGAACTCTTCTTTCAGCTGACGAGACTCGGCGTTCGTTCCCACAAACATCTTGCGCTCATCGAAATGCGATCCGAACTCTCCGACCGTTTTCAGGAACTTATCGACTGCTACTCGCGTCTCGACTGTATCCTCGGGTCTCGAAGTGTAAAAGGGCGCCCGGCTGAGATACGAAGACGCTTTGTTTATCGCGCGTAGCTCCAATAGGTAAAGGAAGTGGAGATTCTTCAAACGCCTTGATCCGGCGCTGTGTGTTCGCTCGTCAGAGAAGCGCAGGTTGAACTCTTCGAGGTTCGCACCCCACATCGGTTCGCCCGGCAGGACGATTTTTCCCATTTTGGGGAGGTAATACTCGGCGCAGAGATGGATGTTGATCGAGCTGTGGAGTCCAGATATCGCCCGGTAGAAGACCCTCTTCTCGAGGCACATCTGATTCAACTCGAACGGACTCCCGTTGGGACCCTTGAAGCAGTTCTCATCGTAGATAGTTTTCCAGACGCGATTCGCTGACGGACCCGCATAGCCGGTGAACCGCTCGGGATTAAGTAGTAGGTCTACGTAGCTCGCATTTGTAGAGTTTTCGTCGTCGAACAAACAGAAGTCTTGCTGAGAATCGTCGTGTTTCTTCCAACTTTCGAATTCTTTCAGACTCTCTTCCGAAATGGTGACATCGATCTTGCCCAACGTTCGATTGTCCTCCTTGCAGGACGCTTCATTGTCGGGTTCTCGGTCTTTCTGTGTTATAACGCTGCGGGTGTCGCCTGCTGTCGTGTTCTGAGCCTGCGACTGATCGATAGAATGTTTCTCAGATGTGTTCAAGTCGCGAGTCGGTTGCACCGTTGTAGCCATGGTGATTTTCACCTCACTGGTCGTTGTCGGCATGACGTTCTGGGTTGAGGCGTGAGGTTTCTCCACCTTGGGTGGAGACGTAGCTGTTGTCTCGAGTAGAACGCTCTCGACGCTTCCGGTTTTTGCTCGCTCGTAGTATGGCAGATCCTCCACGGCTTTGTCCTCGCTGTCGTGAGCTTTCGGTTGACTACTCTCGAGGGATACTTCGTCTTCAAAGTCACCGGAGCCTGACTCGAGCCGGAGCTTCTCCGCTTTGACGAAAGGGATATCGTCGGCATCGCAAACTTCGACCGAACAGTCTCTGAGCGCGCACTTCGAATCGTCATGCCAGAAAGGACACTCGCGAGTCAGGTCCACTTTGAAGTATCGGAAGTAATCTTTGCGGACTATGGCCTGGATCTGGGGGTAGATCCGGAATGAATTGAAGTTCGCGATGTCGTTAATGTTACACTCACATTCGTCAACAAGCCCGTCCAGCTGATGGTCGCCTGTCGCGACAGCGAAGAGCAGCAGGACGCTCACGCAAGCGAACATTCCAGAACGGCGACGAAGTATGAAATACATGACTCTCTATTGATTTCGAGGGAGACGGAGAAGGGGCTTTGCGCAGGAACTCCGCGCGCTCTCCTGAAATTCAGCCCTCTCTTAAGTTCCTCGTCAGTCCAAGGCAACGTCACCTTTCTCGGGAGCAGCAGCCACATGCCGCTCTATCGACACATCATCATATGGTCGAGCCGCCGCCGTTCGATTACGACTCTCGGCGAACGCCCAGGGTTGCACACGGTAGTCCACATTGACGCCGACTCCAAGCCGAGACGATCGCAGAATCTCGCCGCACGATGTTGATCCACAGGGCAACTCGCACGGTCAAGGGCTTGAGGAGTCTGCGAAGCTTATCTCGCAGTACTTAAAAGTGTCATCATACACTCCTCTCACGGGTGGCTTCGGAAGTTGTTTCGTCTCGAGCCCTCTCCGAATATTTTCCTCCACTGAAATGTCGTCTGCTACTCAGCTGGTTTTCCCTCTTCCTCACCGCGGCGCGGCGGAGTGCTGTGCGAGCCCGCTAGTTGCTGGTTGCTGGGCTCTCCAGAAACTAGAGCCAGAGACGAAGTGGAAAATGACACATCTACACAGAGGCACAGAGTTGAGGCGCTTGTAGCTCTCAGGGACGGTGTATCTTCGACATACGCTCTCCTGCTGAGAGAGGGAAGGACGACAGGCGGCGAGCGGCGACACAGGTTACATTGCAGACGGATTCGCCGAAACTGTGAATGAGGAAATTGTGGGATGATGAAATGTATCCCGAAACATAGGCCTGAGCGGATGTTGTAAACAGCTTCTCGGCTTGGAGGCCTGGAGGGTGTCGCGATTTGCGACCTTATGGCTATAGCTACACCTTCAGAACGAAGGAGCCCTCATTTATCCATCCATGATGACGATGATCTCTTGCGGGAAGAGGCGGAACATGTGAACACGGTCGCTCCGCATTTCTCTCAGAGGAGAGCTGCGATTCTGATTGCTATGACTGTGGAAGATACTCAGAATTCCTAGCTTTTGGTACTGCTCGCCCTTCTCTACGATTTTCATCGAAAGATCTCCCTTCGATGACATAGGTGGATCATGCTGCGAGGAATGCTTGCGTCCGAGGAAGATATTGCACACTGAATATAGGACACCAGTGAACGCAGTCTTTGTAGGAGCAGTTTCGTCTGTCTTGATGCGGTGAGATACGTTGATACAATAAGGGCAACGATCGTTGGAGGTTGCACTTCGCCCTCCGAAGAAAGGCCAGCATGGCCTGATGTGTCAGCATCCCGTCCCGTGAGGTCAATTTCCGCGCTGCCCCCTCTTAATTGAGCCGCTCTTCAAAGGACCCTGCTGGTTTCGCGCCTCAGCCGAGCCACTCCATTTGGAAGAACTCGTCAAAGGACCCGTCTTCAGAACTGCCAGCATTCTACGTAGAAACCGGCTCGAAACAGCCTCACGTGCTGTCGTCGTATTCTCTTCCGACTGATTTCGCGGACCGCGACCTCCCCCGAGGCGGTGACATTCATGTCCGCACCTGCCTCTTTGATAAGGAAAGTCAATTACGATGCTCCCGATTTCTAATTCTCTATCATACTCTGATCGACGTTTTAAACTTGATGCGGCCTGCGATCTGCGATGGAATCCCCAATTTAACTCACCTCGATACCCTCAAGAAGTTTGCTGTTCTCCTATGGAAGCCCCTTGTCGGGCTGGGTGAGAGCTCGGCGATACAGAACAGCGAACAATGGAGGTTCACCGCATCAAATGATAAGAACAATATTGTGGATATTTGATAATAGTTATATGAATAATAAATCAACACCCAAAGTTCCTACCCTGATTTCCGGGTCTTTCGGGGAACGGAAGATGACGTTTCGCGAGTCGAAGCATTTCTTGGACAGTGGAGGGGCTAAGAGGGGGGCTTGGGGGAGACGTGGGAGAAAGTTTGCTGGATGCTCCCGCGTATTGCGGCGCTTGAGCAGAGAGCGTGGTACTTGTGGTACCAACGTGAGACGCTCGGAACACATGTTCGGTCGGCTTCTGTTTTCATCGTGATTCGCGCGGCTATCCTATTCTCTTCGATATTTTCCGTGTATCCACAGGCTCCGCTCATCGTTGAGGTCTCAAAAGAAAGAAGGCCGGAGGAATCCGCCTCCTCGAAGTGAAGTTGACACCATGACGGTTTGCGCGTTCGAGTTCGAATGACTCCCCGGGAGTACAACTCCGGAAAGAACGAGAAATGAACGTCCTGCGCAAAGGCGATACTGCTATCATAAGCAGATGGTTCCCGAGCGTGCACGGAGGTGCCGGGGGGATGGCTGAGGTGGGTTGATACTTCGCGACGAGTTACACGAGTTGACATCAACATATTCCTCCTGATTATATGTGAACGGATGGAGCCCTCTTAAGTAATGTCAGAACTTCGGCCCGACAGGTCCAGCGTAAATTGACGAAGATGGATTGTATCATTGAGGTGCACGATGCACGAGTACCGCTTAGTGGTCGCAATCAGAAATTCTTGGAACGTCTCCGCGCCGCAAGACCCCATCTTCTGGTTTACAACAAAGTTGACACGATACCCCGCAAAACAGTGCCTTATTTGAAGAAAATCGTCACGGAGAAAGGTAGGTTCGGAGGACGGTCTCAAAGACGTTTTCCGAAGAATCAGCGACGAACCGAACCCTTGACCTGAAATGAATTCTGACCCCCTCGTATCATTCGGAAACCTCCAGAGTCTTCATCGCCTTTCCCCCTCCACGGCACGCCGCTTTTCTGTTCCGCAACGAAGAACAAGCGGATAGATAAAATCGTGCCGAAGACCGTCAAGCTAATACACGAATTTTTCAAACACAATGCCGACTTCGCGAAGCTGGAGTACACCATCATGATCGTCGGAGTACCCAATGTCGGTCAGTAGCAGCCGTGGTTCGCGCGCCCTGATATCGGCGAGGGCGTCGCTCTAAGACTTGCCTCTCGGTGACAATGAATAAGTTGTGGAGTTCGTCTGGATATAGGGAAGTCTTCGATTATAAACGCCGTCCGAGAAACATGCACGGGCCTGACCAATATGGCTACGAGGGTAGGAGCTCAGCCTGGAATAACGCGCAGCGTGTTGCAGACTATAAGAGTCTCTCAACATCCGAAGATCTATCTGGTGGATTCTCCAGGTCAGCACCGAGAGCGAACCTATCTCTTTCCATATTCCATGAAAAAGTATTCCCCTATCGATACCGTCCCCTCCAGGCGTTCTGGAGCCGACGCCTGTTTCCTATGAGAGGGCGCTGCGCCTGGCTCTGTGCGGTACTGCAATCGACAGCCTGGTGGGCAATGAACTCATGGCGGCGTACTTGTTCAACTTCATGCAGACCCGTGGTGAGCTTCGCAGGTTGAGAATTACGCGGGAAGAATCCTCTCATAGGGTGAAGTCAATGATAAATCACCGTTTCGACGGCGCTCTTCCTGCAGGGATAACGTCGTACTGTAATTACATGGGCTTCGATAAACCCGTGGACAGCCTGCCGGAACTTCTCCGTGGATGTGCGTCGATGCTTCAGAGTCGTAGGAAGGTATGTCTTTGGAGCCGGCCGCTTCACTGCTTCGATTGAGATATCTCACTTTTCCCCTGAGCACCGGGGGGCAATCGGTCGAGATTTTGACGAAAAACCAAAATTTTTCGCTCTCAATGCAGACCAGAAACTTCGACGGAACGGGGGGCTACTCGGTCAAGCTGGATCTCGAGCTAGCTGCGAAATTCTTCATCATGGGCTTTCGAAGAGGGGAATACGGGAAGATACTGCTCGATGATGAAGACCTTCCATCGGGAGTCCAGGGTTGGGAAGTGCCCGAGGCCAAAGATGTCGAATAGCCCTGCCGATGTCCATATAGGAGTGATATAATAAATTTTGGACTGAAAAAATCATTCAATGAGTATCACTGAAATTCTCCGAGCCGAAAACCTGTTGGAGCCGGAGATACTAGACATAGGATCTCTGGACGTGAGCACAGGCGAGACACTGCCACCGAGAGGCGTCTGATATACGGAGAAGAAAAAACTCTCTGGTTCAGGTATCGGAACCCGATGCGGTAGTCACTCGTCGCGGGATTCTCAATACGTTTATCCTCAGCATTGGGTTATGGAAAGGAGCAACAACCTGTCTTCCCTCGGGTACCCTCTCCAGGGAAGCATGCCGTCTCTCGGCTTCGCCGTCTGATGTCACGTCACACGCGCCCGATTCCGAACGCGCACTGACTCCTAGCGGCAAATATTCTCGATCCACTGTGGACAGACGCCAGGAAGCGAACGCGTCCTCTGTCAGAGCACTGAAGCTCGCCATCATGGAATATGGTGTACTCACAGGTTAGGGAACAGGCGAATTTTTCCTCGATTTTTTTTCGAGACCTTCGATTCGTTCGTGGTCGTGTTTTGTTGACTAATCGGGAGCTCCACCGCGAATTTGCAGTCAGTGACCGATGTTACCGAGGCGAGTATGAAGACTTTTCGGGTCCTATGGTGCCATGTATGTTGAGTGGAATCTTTGTGGAATCCACGCCTCATCAGACCGTCGTGCCCGACGAAATCGAGGCTATCCAGAGCGTGGTGTTAGATTGGTAAGTTCTCGGAGCATCTCCCGAAAGGCAATACTATTCGGCTTATATCCTGAGAGACAGGAGAAGAGCTTCTCGATAAACGTCCGGAATCGTCGTATCGCACAGGTGTCAACAGGACTTCGCACTCGTCCTCACTACTGGAGGAACTGGCTTCGCGCCAAGAGACGTGACCCCGGAAGCCGTGGCGCCTCTCATCGAGAGGCGAGCTGATGCTCTTGCGCAGGCGATGATATCCGCTGGATTAGAGAAAACACCTTTCGGTGAGCTCGGGAACAGCTTGCCGATCCTTGCCCGAAAATCAGAGAGTGGGAAGAATGGGAATGCCGGAAGAACAAAAGCCTGCGAGAGCGACCTTGCCGGATGTCATCTCATTGTTGGTCACGTGCCTCGAGCTCAATGTTTTCTTCCTCAGCGGCGCTCTCGCGACCTGTTTGCGGAATACGCGATCGCACGATCATAATCACTCTCCCTGGATCACCAAAAGCGGTCGAAGAAATACTGACGGCAGTAGGGCCTGTGCTTCTCCACGCCGTCAAGCTTCTTCGTGGAGAGCCAACGAGCCACATCCCCGCTGAGAATGGATCCGAAGGTATTCGAGAGGGGAGAGAGAAATCCGATACGCGAAGCGATCTTGGTGCTCAGATTCCACGAACAAAAACAGTCATGTATGATTCAGAACCCGTCAACAATGATCCAGAAGCGATCAGCGTTGATCCAGAGCCCGCCGCGACCTCGAATCAAGGATCTCTTGTCGGACGACCCAGAGAATCCCCTTTCCGTATGCTCGAGCTAGAAGAGGCGAAAGCTGTCGTAGGAAGTGTACTGATGCAACGCTTGAGGAAGAAGAGCGATGTCCAGATGGTCATCCCTCAAAACGCATTAGGCAAGTTCTGAGAGCGTCTTCCGAAGGATTTATTTCCGTCGCTCAAAAAAAATCCAGTAAAGTGTCAATCCGCCTGAAAACGGGAATCTTATTTCCCTAAATTCATTCGGCTTAGCTCCAACTTTCAGGTCGCTTCTGTGCTGAGACGCTGTACGCAAGCGCGCCTTTCCCGCCATTCAGGACTTCGACCAGAGACGGGTAGAAATTTTCGAAGCGAGATTCCCCAGTGTTTTCTGTTCCGCGTTTCCCTGTAAATCTATGTACCTACATATGGGCGGCTTCTGGAATCCTCTTATTTTCCAATCAGGTACGCGGTCCGTTCTGATGGCTCGCTGAGTCCGAGTGTCCGTGAATACGCCGCAACGGCAGGAGCTTCCGTGGTAAAAGCTTCAACAGTGAACACAGAATGGTGCGTTCGGATCTCGACGGGAGGTGTCCTTCCCGCAGGAGCCGATGCTGTGGTGCAGGTTGAAGATACCGAAGTTATCGAAGCGGATACCGTCAGCGATACCGAGCTCCGAATTCAAATCCGCAAGAGACCGAGTCCGGCAGAGAACGTCCGCGAGATCGGCAGCGATTTCCAAGAAGGAAGCGTGCTCGTGAAGATGGGTGACCAGATCAATGCTGGAACTGTTGGGCTTTTAGTTATGGCCGGTCAGTGAAGGAGGGAGCGACGTGTCCCCCAGTCGAGAAGGGAAGAGAGGATAAACATATCGAAGCATCCGAAATCTTCACGTCCTAATGCTGTGTAATGTCTCCAGGTATCTCGTTCGTCCCGGTGGTCGCTCCACCAGTGGTGGGTGTTTTGTCCACCGGGAACGAGCTTTCGAGCGACCATGATCAAAACGTCGGAAGCGTTCCCGACTCAAACCGACCGATGCTTCTCTCATTGTTGAAGAGTTTCGGAATTGAAGGGATAGATTTAGGCGTAGTCACCGACTCCGAAGGGAGAGTTTTGCGCAAACTGAAAGAGGCGACCAAATGTGACATCCTCATTACGTCTGGTGGCGTGTCGATGGGAGAAAAAGATATTATCAAAGGAATGCTCATGAGATCGGGATACGATATTCACTTCGGCCGAGTGAATCTCAAACCAGGGAAACCCACGACACTCGCCAGCAAGGTGAGGTTAGATATTGAGGTCGAGATATTATATCCTTTCAATCATTCGCTCTCGTTCGCACACCCACTTATGGAATGTGATCTCTGTCTTCAGGAAGGTCAAGTTGTCTTTGCTCTACCCGGGAACCCAGCCAGCGCATTCGTAATGTTCCACATATTCGTTCTGCACGCGTTGCACTTCCTCGGATGCGCTCTCCCACTGCGGACACTCGAAGCAGTCATCGACGTACCTGAACCTCTGATCTTAGACCGCCGACCGGAGTTGATGCGAGGTGACCCCTCTAATGAGCGAACTAAGGAAATACTCGAAACAACCCTCAACTCGTGAACCGCTCCCTGCGGAGAGGGAATCCTCCCGTATTTCTCATTTCCACATCACGTCTGACGCGTCTGATTTCATATTGCAGCGAAACTCTACCCCGAAAACGCTACTCTGAGGGTCTGTCCACTTTTGAACCAGCAGAGCAGTTCGCTGTTCCACTACCACACGGTCAATGCACTGATCAGTTTACCCTCGAGAGACGAAGTACAACGGCCCGTTAAATCTGGGGATTTGGTCTCGGTCTACTGTCTTAACTTCTGAAGAGCTCTCTGCGCAGACGGACCTCCCTGGTTATTCCTCACGAAGGGAACAGTCCTCGAATGATTGATCTGACTTCGGAATGGCACATGGATCCGCTCCGATCGGAAGTGTTCCAGATGGGGAAGCAGGGACTATATCAGAGAGAGCTTCGACTTCTAAGCAAACGAAATTCCGCATCCCGAAGCCCCGCGATCTCTATATTCGAGTGTACATAAGAGTTGAGTTAATCGGGTGCGAATGAAGATGCAAATTCAGGTGTAGCTTTCACCGACGCTTCATTTTAATTCTCCTCCCAATCTACGGAGTCATGGCTGTTACTATAGAAACCGTCCTCTAACAAGCGTTCTCCCTCGGAGAGTGGAGTCCTTCCTGAGGTCGGCACTCGATGGAAACTTCCACTCTCCATAATAGTCACATTGAAGAATCACTCACATTCTCGCAACTCCTCAGCTAAATTTTCCTGCTCTCACTTTTATCAAAATAGACGTCGCTATGGCTTGAACCCACTTGCATGGGGCATTGAATAATCGAACATTTACACGTAAAGCTATTCTCTCCGGCCCCACCTACCCCATTCGCTCTCGGCGAGAGAGATCACTCGCTCCTCCTCCAGAGCGACTGAGATGGTGTACTGGCACTTGCCGAGTCACACATGGAACTGGTCAGGATTGTCAAGATCGAGAGTAGTCCCGAGTTTCCTCGCTAGTATCCTCCTCGATATGATCAAACGACTAGGCATGGGCAGGGCCACCGGGAATGTTTCTTGTTGTTCAAGGTCGGAACGACACGCTCGAGAAAGCTGCTCCGGCCAATCCAGCCGCGATTCCTTCCGCTGCTGGATAGATACCGAAAACGGTTTTTCATGGAAAAAAATCTAACTCGGGCTCGAGAACAACCGGCTTAAATTAGGGTCTAGCGGCTTGTAGACATCCTGATACATTAACTGATGGGTCATCTCAGAATCGACGGGGAAAAAATCTCCGAACGAAAATGGAATGTACGTCTCGGAACGATGATGCGCCAATCTGGGTCGGCCGGCTCTCGGAAGTTCACAGAGCCGCGAAGGGTTGTCAGATACCTCGGCCATCATCCGGCCCCGTATTTTTTGCTGCTGCTTTCAGTGTCGTAGAACTTTTAGCACGCGACAGAGATTACATCATTGAAGCAATATTACATATGCACAGCGCCCACAATCAGGCAGATCACGTAGTTCACACGAATCTCGTCAGTCGAGCATCTCCATGACTGCTAGGAGGTCCCTGAATTGAGAGCCTACTTTCCCCTGCATGGTTTGCCTCTTTAGGAGGAAGGATCTGATCGTCATCAGCGATTCGTGACAGCCCGAACATTTTCCATAGCGTTCCTCGCGGCTGAGGTCAACGCCGACGCTTCTGGGTCCTGCCACGGTGTCCTTGATGATGGTTCCTGAGAATGAGAGAGACGATTACCAGGAAATTCTCCACGAACGTACTAGATCGGAGGTACACCATTGTGGAGGAGATGATGGAACAAGTACACTGAGAGGCTCACCGAAATTTTTGAGGACGAGCTTTATTCCCGAAATCGCCGTGGCCATCTGAGGCTCGTATTTGCTCTGGATGAGTTCGTACATGGCGGGGAGGAGCAAATGGCAGAGGTCGAGATTCCACATGGCAGACCGTAAGACGAGGACGTTGAGCAAGTCTACGAGAACTGACGCGTCCCTCAAGTTTAGAGCGACCTCGACCGCGGCTCGAGGATCCTTAGGATTCCAGCGAGCATGAATCTGACGCAAGCCGTTGAGGCGATGCATCATGGCTACCATCATGCCGTTGTGTCCAGCTGAAGGAAAATGCTCTGGTTCGTACTTCGATCCGCCAAGATGGGAATTTATACTTCCGATATTATCTCTCTTCGCAGAATGGCCCGTCGGAACACTAACCGCTGATTTTTTCGATAGCTTCAGTTTCTGAAATTGGAACGCTTGATCGCGGACCCCGGGAAAGTGACTGGACGTGAGCCGGCAGAAAGTCGTCAAAATTCAGACCTCCGCCTCCAATACCGCCACCGCCTCCACCGCACGTCCCGTTGCTACCAACGGACTCCGTGTTGTATCCTTGCTTCCCAGGTTGGCAGACAGCCGGTGGAATCTGGAAGAGTTGGTTAAATTATTATTATATAAAAAATAATCAAGAATGTGATAAGGATGAATGTAGGACAGGCAGCCGCGCGATACTTCAGGTAGCACATATCGCGGATCAACTTCAATGAGTTTTCTAGGGCAGGCCAAGCTTACATTCGTCACGACTTCGGGGTGGACGACAGCTGCCGCTTTGACGCTCATGACTGGCTTCACGATTGAGACGAGACTCTGTTCTGACGAAGTTTTCTCGGCGGTTCGTCGAGGAAGGAAATTTTGCGTTTTGACTGGGGTTGAGGGTTCACTAACTGGAAGAATCGGAGAGAGGTCTCCACTCGAGGTGGAATTGGCAGTGCCTGAAACGAGCAATCAAGATTGAGTTCCAGAAATATTCCGCGAAAGAAAAAAATTTATATGCCGGATCTAAATGAAAGGATTTGATGTCGTCTTCCGATGCTTCGACTCCTGATCCGCTGTTTCTCTTGACCCCCTCCCCCTGAACATAACTTCCGAGGAATCAGCTGACTCGAATCCCGGCTTCTTTCAGAATTTTCCAATACACACCCGTCTTCCGGTTATTGTCGGAAACGCTGCTGAGCGTGGAGGAAGAGCTGCTCAGGCTCCCGTGGTGCTGCGTTGTTTCCTTGATATTCCCCATTGAGTACGAGGAGCGCATGTTGCTCGTTGAATAAGCGGTATTGCCCTTGTTGCTTGTGTTATTAGTATTACTGACTGTGTTATTGAAATTATTCATCGCCGTCGTGGTAGTTGAATTGACTGAATTCTTGTTGCCAGCTGTGATCGATTTGAGACAGTCGGAACTCTGAAGGTTCCTCGAAATCACAGGATCGACACGCGGAGGTGAGCGAGAAGGTCCTACAGGGGTCGTCGTCGCTATCGAATTCGGGGCTGCATCCTTGATAGGTGGAAGACGGAAAAGCCCCGAACCCGAGTTGCTCATGACGGGATACGAATCTCTAGGCGGGCTTCGCGACAACTCCTTCGACGGGTGGAAGATTTCGTTGTACGAAGCTGAAATGCGGGAGAGTTTTTGTGACGAAGCCGAGGCGAAAGGGTCGATATCGCAAAATACTCAGATGACTGCCTAATTTTTCCCTATCCGATGTTTTTGTTTTCCACTGCTCGAACTCGCAAAGGGACTCACATGGCTCCATGATGCAGACGTCATCTGTACTCGACGGTTCGTAGCTATCATAGGAGTTGTCGGAGGCCTCTGAAGAGTTGATCTCCCTCTTGTAGGCCACATCCAGTTTTCCGCGTGTTTTTGTGTTGAAACTTCGTCTAGGGTTCGAGCCCAGAGGCGACGAACGACGGAACGATGTCGTCTTCATTGGGACCTCGTCGATGAACGTCGTCGATCCGGCGAAGGGCTGAACTTTGTTGGTGTCGAGAACGTATACGCAGACGTTCGTCACGGATTTACTCGCGGCCACGATCGCTTCTTTACCGACCATGAGGTCCTCAACCCTACCCCATCCCATGACAACTCGGTCGAATGTGTTCACCGTCGGCTCCCAGCCGTAGACCCTCATGAGGTCGTCAGCGCCGACCATTATTACGTCTCCGTCGGGGTGGAATCTTGTGCAGTGTACCTGTCCCGAGTCTCCGCTCGTAGACGATATCAGATTCCACGTTTCGAGATCGTAGAATTTCACGCTGCCGTCCTCGCTGCCCGACGCCAACAAGTACTCGTTCGGATGGAATTCTACATCGCTGACGGGGGCCTGATGCTCATTGAATTGGGTTAGCATTTTACCCATGGCCAGATCCCACAATTTGATAGAACCGTCGTCCCCGCCAGAGACTATCCATCGTCCGTCTGGACTGAAGCGGATAGAGTTCACTTTTTGTTCATGGCCTCGATACGTGTTGATGCAGCTCCGTCTTCTAGAGTCCCACAATTTGATAGAGTTATCACAGGAACCTGACGCGATAAATTCACCGTACGGATGGAAGTCTATGCACTGCACCGATGCCTTGTGCCCGTTCAGTGTGCGGAGAACCCGAGCTGCTTCGAGATCAAATAGTTTCACCGCTCCGGAGTTCGAACCCGAAGCGAGAAGGTCTTCGTTGGGATGAAATTTGACTGTGTCGATCGGTGTAGTATGGCCGTGCAATCGGAGTACGCAGTTGTAACGCGGTATTGTCCATAAATTGATCTGCAATGAAGGAGGAGACGTCAGTGTACTGATCAGCTCTGGTCGATTCGCAGAACCTAGAGTTTCCCACGGGAAATTCACTCCGCGCGAATCTCGTAGGACCTCCTCAGAGGATTGGGAACTCGGGATGAATCGTTTACCTAATGACACAAGTCAAAATTCGTGACAAATCGTCAGTCTCGCCAGCAGGCTCCAGTACAAAAGCCTATCTTGGCTGGTTTACGCAACAAGCCGCGGGAACGATGGTCATTTAGCCCAGCTCATCTCGTACATAGACGTCGAGTGAGAAAAGATCCCACGTATGTGTAGCCAACCTTGAAAACGAATTCCCAGCCCGTATAACAGCGGCTCGGGGCGTATATGCCAATGTTTTCGCATTAGAATTACTGTTGTCGTATCGACTTAATCCACACCGCGCGGTAAAAACTCAGCGAGTTACGTGTACTCGTGCGCGGCTCGCTGACCTTTGCTCGACACTGTGTGAAGATATTCCACCATTTTTCCTCTTCGAAGACCCAAAGCCTGATCAGGAGCCTCGCATGATCCGAACATGACGAGGAAAGTCGGAAGAAGCCGGGATTGCCTCGGTTGACGTATCAGAGGAACAGGAAGACTCCGGAAGAATATAGTGAAAGGATGGCAGATGATGATACTTCCATGTGGAGAACCGAACAAAACCGAAGAGCATAGTGGTATGAAGGAAGGATGGCAGATGATGACAAAACACTTCCATGAGAGAGAAGAGTGTATCAGGAATCGGGATAGGACACCAACCTCTCATCGAAATTTCGGCTAGAACAACCAGCCGCCGAAAAAAATAAAAGCGTTATTCTTTCTCCGGAAACCCGTTTTTCAAGCACATGGACATACGTCCCGCGGACTCGGGAGCGGTATCGCGACGGAATCCGAAAGATTCATCGGTCATCCGAAGAATCGGAGACGAAGAGCAATGATCGATCCCGTTTCCCTCCCGACAGCGATATCCTGAGAAGCGATGAGACCATGTGAAGCTGGCTCATCTGATCATCGCTCTGATCACTCAATCAACCGTCGACTGACCAATGGGACCAGATGTTTGGATCATTCGATGTCTCGTCAGCGTCTCCGGCGTCTCGTCAGAGTTATAATAACCCCTGGCCGAGCCGCGTTCGGCTTCATTTTAGAGAAAGCATTCCGGGGTATTCCATCATCGACGCACGGAACAAGAATACTGTGGCGATCCGACGACCACAGAAAAGCTTCTGCTGCCGACTACCCACGCTCCTCCACGCAGTGACCTAGTACTGCTGTAGCCGTTGCTTCAGCGTCTTCGCCTGGATGTACAGTGGAATTTTTGCAAATCTATCATCTGGAGAAGCCCACATCGGAAATGACGAGAATGATAGATATAGAGGAGAGATCAAATGATTTCACGCCAGCCGATGCATTTCGTCGAGCCCATTTCGCAATTCTATACGATTTCGAGCGGGGATATCGTACTTGGGACAATCTATCGGAAGACTCCCGAATCGAGTCGGCTCAGAAAGTCATGCCACGTGGATCCCCAGTCATTTCTGAAAAGAATTCCCGTCGGCACCGGTGGAAATATCCGGATGGATGCACAAAGTTTTCCTCCATTTTGCAACAACTCGGCGAAACGACGGGACGGCATCGGATGTTTCGGATCCGCGACAAAGTCGTGTGGCGATGTTTCCTACATTTGCGAAGCGCCCGGAGTTCCCGGCGACTCTTTTCCTGCCTCCACTAATGGATGAGTCGCCCAGCGAGCTCATGCCTCCCAGCATTACGATAGCCCACCGCTGCTACCGATTGTTGGAGGAACTTGTTAGCTCAAATCCCGAGACAAGACCATCAGTCGGTCAATCGGTGCTCGATGCAGCTGAACTCACGATGACGTTCGCGTGAGGTCTGCTCAGATTCCCGCTCTATCGCTGGTCAGTTCTTGTCCTGTAAATGGACAGCCGTAGCAGAAATGAGTTCTGATGGCAAACGGCGTCAACAAAATGAAGGCAACGCTTAACCTCGTTTCGTCCGGTCACTGCTGCATCAAACGGCAGCAGCCGTTTCGTTGACAAGAAGCCATCTCTCATGACTTGGGATACGCCGACACCTGGTTGTCGAGCTACGTGTGCAGCGACCTAACTTCCTTTATTTATATGTTCGCGCTTCTACCGGAACAGCGAACAGAATTACAAGCGGTGTCGACACCTAGACAGATTCTATCGACGCCGTCAGTTCTCAGATCTTTCGCATCAAGCCGGATTCGGATCATTCGAGGAAAAGAGCGAGGAATTGAGCCCTTCCTCGAAGGGAGCTGCACAGTTATCCACTAGGTAGATGGCGAAGGAGTTTCGAGAACCCAATACAGACATGGAATCGGATCAGTCTTCGGAGAAACGATGTTTTGTGACATGGATTCCCGTCCGGTTTCGCATGTTCTTCCGCGGCAACCCCGATGTCGTCAATGGTGAGCGAACTCCTTGGTCTGATTGTGAGTAGGAGAGTCGATGGGGGAACGATGGCGGCCTCGCACAATAGGCTTCACTCATCCAGTGAACTAAGTCACGGCATAACTGATTAAAGTAAATTATGAACCAAGGTCCAGGGAACTTCATTCCGCGGCTCATAAAGGTCACCGGCTATCTTCGGATGAGCCACTAGGAGTAAATTTGGCTGATTCTCATTTACTCCACAATGCAGCCTCCAAACCCCAACACACCTCCCAGAATTCGAGAAGGACGGTCTAGTCTCTCCCGGCTTATAATGATTGTGAGAGATGACGCTTTTGTATCAAGGAAATCTCACTCAGACGTCTGTGTCGGAGACATACCGAAACTCCCCTCTTTGAACTTTCATCATGATGTCGGGAACGGCCAACAGTCGACGGATACGAAGTGGATGAATTCGGACCGATGCTCAATAGCGAGGAAAAATGAGCAGACCGCGTGGTCTGCTTTTTGATTTTTTCTGGAAGAACAATGCGAACAGACCCGACCCCGAGCCTGATCCCGACCATGACAATTAGTTCTCGGTGTTTTCAAGAATGAACAAAGAGCAGAAAAAACTGTGACACGATGAAACATTCCCTTTTTCCCAGTCGGATGGGAGAACCGCCTCCTGGATGCTTCAATTCGTAATTATTGCGCTCGCGTGATGTCCTTTGCCATGGCGGGCTCTCATAATTACTCCGTGTACGCGGAAATGTCCGACGGCGGACAGGCGGAACAATCTCTTCCGGCCGCCCGGAACCCACCCCCGCACGATCAGAGTCAATCCTTTCGTCCGTGTATGAGAACGGCCGGCGCGATATCCGATAAAATCCTCAAGAAGATTTCCCCAGAATGGTTGCGTCAACGTGTACGACTCCGTTCAAGCATTGACATTGGGACGAATCCCACACAAATTCCATTTTCTAACGAAGCTTGTTTCCACATTTCGGGAGACCGAGGAGCCGCCGGGCAGTTTGACGCCAAGATTTTGTCAGAAGGGTTTTCCATGGATCGATCAGCGATGCCATCGTGAGAGTCGCGTGGTCGAGTGGAAAACTCAAAACTTCGGCCTGAAGCGTCACCATTCAGATTTGAGAATCCATTGACCGGAAATTCGACCGTAATGGCTCTTGACTCATACGGAATTATCTCGACGGGTAGCTCTTCGACTCAGATTTCTGTCCGATTGGCTGTGACTACGAGTAGATCTCTGAGTGTGTGTTTATCAATGTTCATCGGCTTGCGGGAGCATCAGAAAACCAAGGTCCCCGCCCACAATTCATTCCAAGGCATTCGTCCAAGTTATTCTCCGGAATCGCGGCGCATCCGTCCGCTCGACCGTCGACGCTGGTCTTCAGTCGCTGCCAGCGCCGCCGTATCCCCAGGCGTGGGTCCTCTGGGCGCGATAAATGGAATGCTCCGCAGACTTGGTACAGAAAAACATGGTCGCTACCCTGTCGGCCCGCACGCTGTCGTGACAAACAACGGACACGGTCAAAAACGGGAGAATTAAAGCCTTCGGTGCTGTCGCACGATCTTGCGGGCAACATCAGCGACTGCTGGGAGAAGAAAAATCGACCCGAAGTGTCGCACGGTGGCCGCAAAAATATAAAAAAAAGAGCGTGAAAAGTCTTTCCACGGCTTCCCACAGACGGGAGGAAGATCCATTCCGGTGAGGTTCCCATCCAGGTAGCAATTTCATCGAAGACACAATCGCATCGAACAATAAAATCTTCGTGCTGCGTCGGCACCGGTCGCCGCAATCCGAGCCGGCAACTGCTCGCAACCAAGAATAAGGAGAGTCTCGAAACTGATTCCGGTCCCCACGAAGCTACAAATGGCTTCCTGTTTAGGGAAACATACGAGCTGATCATTTGAATCGCGTCGCAAGTCACTTGGACCATGGAATCGGAACTTACTTAGTAGTGCCGACTGCCCGGTCGAATGCTAAACCACGGCTTCAGGGGAGAGAATTCGAAGCAAGAAAATCTTTGAAGAGCAAACGAAGGTGCCCGATTCCGAGGGAGGATGACGTCTTTCTGCGGAGACATCGGTTCGGGTTCCGCATGCTTTTCTGGAACGTCCGAAGGCTTCATCGCCGATCACAATCAACGCTGGTTCTCATGACGCTCTCGAAACTAGGGAATGACGTGTCGTGTATGATCCAATGTCGGAAGCTCCAGCGTTCGGACGAAGGTAGCCTGTGGGCTCACAGAATTCACAGTTGTTGAGCTTCTGAGCTTCCCAACATGTTAATCGAGGTGGGACAGGAAGTACGCACCATGGAGCATGCGCCTCCCGCGACTGTTGTCCGCCTACAATACCACGTCGGCTGGGCCAAGTTGTAATATTCTCCCCCAGCTAAACTGAATCGTTTGACAACGCTGAGCATCGGATCCGGTCAGCGGGACTACCGTCTTTCTATTCCAGACCGTCGGGATTTCTAAGAATGGAGAACTAGACAAAAATCTGGTTTCCTTCGGTGCCATCGGAAACCGAACGACTTCTCTC